CCCCCCCCCCTTCATTAAGCATTCATGGTGGCATATCTGGTTATCTCACCTCATTAGTATTCATGGTGGCCTGGCTGCTTCCATATCCTGTTACGCAAGTTCATTACATATGCATGGGGGACGTCATTTCCGCCACGCCTCCTTCATACATATTCATGGTGACCCTGGCTTCTGCCACGCCCCCCTCATTAATTATTCAATGTGTGTCCTTTTACTACTCCTATGTAATCTAACCAACCCAGCCACTTGTGAACATGCACCAATAATGACGCTGCAGCCAAGTACCATGATTTGTACCACCAACTGCACAGACTCAAAGCTACTCAACATTCTGGTGATGTTGATTTGTGAACAAATAATCGCCATTGTGAGGTAGGGTATTTGACTTCGGGGGGGGGGGAAGACACTGATGATAGCAAGGTAAGTTCAATTTTTGAATGTGTATTGAGAAAATTGAAGCACTGCTATTGGAATTATCTTATACATGAATAGGTGGGTCCTCCTGGTCTAAAGTTTTCAGGCTAATGTCTAACAACATACATATATATGCAAAGGAATTAAACTGTACATTGGAAGCAGACTGTTTCATATTCAAGTGGTACACAAGGTAGGACTATGGAGATGAAAGGTTAGGGCTATCCACATGAACTGGCTTAATTCTAAACTAATTCTATATATATCAGCTTAATCATAACCTGTTTCAGTACTGGATACAGTTTCCTGTTTATTATACATGACAAAACAGAATATATATACATACTTTCCTTGTTATTGCCCTCATAAATCTGAAGAGCTATTGAAATGCACAACCACATTTTGATTTGGAACTACTAAATATTTAAGGTGTAATAATTATGTATATGCTGTCAGGTGTAATGAGATGGACTGTGATGGAATTAATGAGGGTTTTCAAAATTCTGGGTTTCTAAATTCTGTGTTATTGATGATTGATGTCTTTATTAACGACCTCCTTATTAATTTATTTTGTTGGGTTATTTAAATATTCAGAAAGTGATAATCTTCATTTTGTTCTGATCCAAATATACTGTTAAGTTTGGTAAAATTGCATTAATCTGAGGAGATTTTACAGTTGATGGTAGATTGTGGCATGTAGTTGAAAAAAATCAACTGGAATATTTAGACTAATCTATTATTGTGATTTTTTTTCTGTATTATTTGGATTTTTCTTGTGGTTTCCAGGGTTTTATAAAACAAATAAGTACTACTAGTTCATCTGAATCACATATTTTTGGATTCCTATAATTTGACCTGCAGCATGGTCTGACTCTAAAGCACCGACCTAAAGCAAAGGTGAATGTGATTCCAACACCACACATGAAAGAGGGCCCAGTTAAAATAGTCCACTCACAGAGGCTCACGAATCCTACTGGGTTACATAATGCTCTGGGGTAATTTAGGATCCCAAATGCATGTTCAGCTGAGGCTGCAGTGGGAGTATGGAATGTGAAGCTCCTTGAAGCTATCAACAAGGTTGCCCCTCTACAACTTCTCCTACACCTGAGGCATAACCTGCCCCCCTTGGTTACCATGGAACTAAATGATCTGAAGAGGGCCAGGAGACATCTAGAATGATTCTGGCAGTGAACTCATACTAAATCTGATAAATTATGCTATTGCGTCCACTGGAAGATCTGTGAAGAAGTGATGACAGCAGCAAAGAAATGTTACTACTCTGCTACTTCACAACCATCCCAATTGTTCAAGGTATCTCAGCAACTTTTGATGCTAGAATCTAAGCCTTTATTGTCTTAGGAAGAGACAATTATCTGTGATACTTTTGCCAAGGTTGGTTTTTTTTATATAAAATATTGAGAATATCCTCTGATCTGGATGTCAGTTGTAACATAGACACACCAGAAAACAGAACTAACCTGGTCTACTCATCAATCATTTTGTCCCAGTTCCCATGATGGATATCAACAAGCTCTTGGGATTGGTGAAGGATGCTACTTGCACTCTGAATCCTTGCCCATCCTAGCTGCTAAAACTATGTAATGACCACATCAATAAATCCTTAGCATTTATTATAAATCATTCACTAATTCAGGGCATCTTCTTTCAGCTGCTTAAAGAGGCAGTTATCCATCCACTACTTAAAACAAGAAATCCCAACAGAAAAACGATGTGATCAATTATCGCTCAGTCTCTAACCTGCCTTTTCTTGGCAAAGTGATAGAGAGAGCAGTAGTGGACTAACTCCAGGTCTTCTTGGATTTCTCATCTGCTCTCTTTTCAGTCTGGCTTCAGGCCGGGCTATGGGACAGAGATGGCTCTGCTAGTTCTAGTTGATGACCGTCATCTTAGTGTAGACAAAGGCCATGCTTCCTTATTGTTATTTATTTATTTATCAGATTTATACCTCACCCTCCCAGCCGAAGCCAAAGCCGGGAGCTGGTTGGACTTATTTGCAGCCTTTGATACAGTGGATCATACCATCCTCTTGAGGCACCTAGAGGCAGAAGCAGGTGTCACAGGATGTGTGCTGAAGTGATTCAAATCATTCCTCACAGATCAGACTCAAAGGTTGCTGTGGGAGATCAGTTGTCATCAGTGTGGGACCTATACTGTGGAGAACCACAGGTACAATTCTATCACCCATGATTTTCAATCTCTATGTAAAGCTGTTAGGACAAATCATTCATAGCTTTGGGGTTGGATGTCATCAATGTGTGGATGATACCCAGTTCTATATATCCTTTCCCAAATACTCTGGTGATG